AATTGATTCGCCTTTATGCTTCGAACTTCGCCTTTATATTATATTGTATGTATTTGGACTTATGAGGTTCATGTGTCGAAGATGGAAAATAAACAGTTAAGCTTCTTTAARCAATAAAAAAAGTTTATGTGTATAAATAATAGACACACAATTGTGAATATTTATTTACATATGTACACATGTGCACGCTATATACATATATCCTATACATGTATATATATAGGGCCCACGATTTCGTTAATTGTTATTGATATGTCACTTTTGCTTTTTTGCAATAATTAGTATATTATTTTTAGATACCCATGCATTTTGGAATATTTCGTTATAATTTATATTTTTGTTTTTAATTATTAGGCGGCACCACTTTTGCGTACTTAAATTTGCCAATAATTAAATAATAAGTAGACTTATAGCTCTTTGAAAATGTATAGTTTCTCATCTCCAAAGAAAGTATCTTCAATTTGTTTGTTTTTCTGTACTTCACTTTTGTTTTATTAGTTGAATATTCATCGAACTTTTTTCAGAATGGTCCCACAGTGCTGCATCTCGCATCATCAGTCACTCGTTTGACGCTAATTCAACGCGACGCGCGTACTTACAAATCGCGAATTGAGCGCACACACACACGCTCCCCATATAACATAAGACTCATAGTCGGCAAACAGTTTCTGACTTTCCATTAGGGGTACGACTTACTAATTAATAAAGTATGTAAAAATAAAGTATAAAATATGTTTCAACCACACTACTTAAAATACGCTAACTGATACTTCCGATTTCACCTTGAACAAACGAGTGCATACATGTGGACACAACACCTAATTTCAAACAGTCGCACTGAAATGTTATGCCCCTAATTGACATATGTACATACTTACATGCATATGTTGTATTTGCGAGTATATCGGTTTGAGCAAACGTTAATCACATATAATTGCGGAATGTACCGAAAATCAAATAAAATAACACCACAAAATACCAAAATAACTGTTTTACTCATTTTTTACCAAATTGTAATGACGTGATGAGGACCAAAGCGGTCGGTCGACGTTGGATTTGCATTCGCGATGAGGCGTGCTGCTAAATAACGACCCTGTCTGTTAAGCGTCGCGCAAGTCAAACAGTCAGCAAGTAATTACAAACATTTAACACACACACACTCTGGCCTAAAGTACATTATGTAAATATGCACATACTTAATAAATATTCGCTTTGTAGTGACAGTGGAGTGGCGCGTGCGCACAGTATTTTTGGCAACAAGTTAGCTTGTATTCGTTGGCTGCGCGACGGAGCGTTTGCTTATTTCTTAGGCTTTGAGCAATTTTTCCGCTCGCCTCCTTTTTACTTTACCAAAATGGGCTTAACGCGCTGACAACGCCAACGGCGGCATTAAAACCATATATAATAGCAATAAAATTATTCATTCAACGGTGATGCTGTTATTTGCTTGCACATTGCGACTCTGTAAATATAAACAAATGAACATACAGTAATGAGCAAAACAAAGGCATTTTTAGTTCTGCATATACAGGTGCATTTCTTTTAGTAGCTATGTGTTCAGTTTGTATGGAAGCTATATGCTGTAGTAATCCGATCTGAGCAATTCCTTCGTAGATTACATTATTATCTTAGAAAATAACYTGTGCCAACTTTTGTGAAGATATATTGTTAAATGTGAAAATTTTCCATATAAGTACTTGATTCCGATTGTTCAGTTTGTATGCCAGCTATATGTTATAGTGGTCCGATATCGGCAGCTCCGACAGATGAGCGCCTTCTTGAAGAGAAAATGACRTTTGCAAATTTCAAAACTATATCTTAAAAGCTGAGGGACTAGTTCGTATACATACAGACGGACATGGCTAAATCGCCTCAGCTCAACATACTGATCATGAGTATATATACTTTATAGGGTCCCCAACACTTCCTTCTGAGTGTTACAAACTTCGTGGCAAACTTAATATAATATACCCTGTTCACCCTTCCCCGGTGTATCWCTTATAACATAGCATGGTATAATAAGATCTCTATTTATTTTTTATTGATCCGTTCGTAAGGCAGATATTTACTATGGTAGTTCGATAAATACAACTTCTTCAGATATTACTACGCTATTTTGAAGAAAAATATATGCTAATTTTCGATTGCTTACTAAATAAACTATTTTTCCATACGAGGATTGGAGTTTGAATGGTCAGCTATTTGCTATAGTTGTCCGAYATCTGCGGTTCCGATAAATTATCATCTTCTTGGACATAATATCAAAATTTATGATCGATATTGAAAGCTGAGAGCTAGTTCGCATTTATACTGAGAGACGAAAATKGCCAAATTAACTCAGCTCGTCACGCTGATCATTGATATATAATACAATATATAAAGTATGGGGTCTCCAAAGTTTCATTTTGAGTGCTACGAACTTTCGTGAAACACATTATACTATTCCTTGACTAATCTCCAACACTATTATTTCCTAAAAATTTTCACACATTTTGCTGAGTGTGAAAAGCACWAGATTTTTCAATTAAATGGAAACAGTGTCAGAAAAGTAATTTTCCTGTAGTTTTTTTAGACTGTGTGACCAGTTGACCATTTAAGTAAATCAGTTTAGGAGGTAAATAGTTTCAAAACCTTTCAGACCATGTTTTTTCTCACCACTGTATATGTATCGTGTAGGCATATACAGGTTGGTATCATATACATACATATTTATATATGTTTATATGTATCGTATACATTAACATAGTTGTTGTTGTGGGTTTTTTGTTGATGATCGTGGAGTTTGGTATTTTTGTCATTAGTGTCTCTCAGCATCTGTGTTTTATTTGTAGTTTTTGTTTTGYTGATGTTATTGCGTCAACGTGACCGCATGACTCACTAAACGAACAACCAGCCTAAACAAAGTCTTGGCTCGCAGCAACCGAACAGCAGCACTTGTTGCATGTGCATGTGTTGATTGGTATGTCAACAATGCCGAGCGCTACTACCGGCATATCTTCATAATTGTGCATTCAATATTGAATACTATGGGATTGGTTGTGCAATATTAAAAAAAAATGTTAGGCAAATTTCATTGCTTATATATTGTTACAATATTTTAGAAATTAAAATATAAGTCAATTGGCTTTGCTCAAGTATTAATCAAAGCTAACATTTCAAATCATTAAATCTAATCAATTTACAGTGCGTTCAAAAAATATTGCTTTCGTTGTAAAAAGTTTAGGTAGCGTTTGTTGGAAAAATTTTGTATTTATGGGAAATATGTACATACTCGTATATTGTTTCGTTTATACACTAGTGGCCACGCAAACCTTATCACTAAAAATGTTCAAGTATTGGGAATATTTGACCAGACTTTATAGCGGTACTTTTTGCGATGTAAAAATGTTTTTTGTTTAGAAATAACATGTTATTAATCAAAAATATTWAAAATTAAAAACATTCAGCTATAGATATATCAATTGAAAAATAGTGAGCTTTACAACATAAGCTCGAAATGGAAGGGACTGACATGCGATGAAAAAACTAAATTTTTTTTATTTTATTTCATTTACTCTGAAATTAATGTTTTATTATTTTTTTTTTTTTAATTTAAACAAGAAGTTTAGTCGGAATATCACTTTAAAATAATAAAATCGGCCCCTATTGTATAAACACATAAAAGTTCATTTGTGTTTTATTCATCAAACGTAATAAATTAAAAACTACAATTATAATTAAACAATATAATTTAGTTTACTTTTGCTTGCTTAAACCTTAAAAAAAAAAATTTTTTTTTTAATCCCGAACTTACGAAAACGCCCGAAAAAAATTAAGGAAGTATATCTACATCTTTGATAGCAACTTGCAACTAAATTTTCCYCATTTTTCCACAGGAAGTGACCTCCAGATATGTTGGTTGGTATTGTTAAAGCAAGCAAATAGTTTTCTTGTTTCAATTGAGCACAGAGTTTGCTAATTTTTCCGTATCATCGTCTTTTTTCAGAATCTAATCATAGCAATTTTTGCCGTAAAATATTTCAGCTGACTTCAATAAACCTTTTTTATAAAGGTTTGTTTTTTTTTCTTAGCCAAACACTTCTCAAGGGGTTGAACGTTTTTATTTAATACGTTTTTATTTRATTCCATGTTTGTGTTCTTACATAACTTAATTTTCATTAAACTTTTGACTAACCTCTCATAATTTAAGTTACAAGTTTATTTTTCGCGGTAACTTTTTAACCAAATACTCTACAGGTGTGATTCCTTTATACCCTGAACGGGGTACATCACGTTCGACACTATGTTTGTAACACCCAAAAGAAAAGTCAGAGACCCTATAAGCTTGCCTTTCTGAAGGACATAAAGTACATTCGACAAAAGAAGATCCAACSTGTTGAATGGTAATAAAAGCATAACGCCAGGAAAAGGCGAGCCCGATGCCCCAATCGACGACGATGGAGCAGACGTTCCATTGCCCGACCAGGAAGAAGTTCGAACAACAATTACCCGTCTGAAGAACGCCAAAGCGACGAGGGCCGACGGATTGCTGACCGAGCTATTCAAACATTGCGGCAAAGAGGTGATGACGAGCATGCATCAGCTTCTTTATAAAATATGGCCAGACGAAAGCATGCTCATCGATTGGAGTTTAAGGGTGATCTGCCCAATCCACAAAAAGGGAGACAAAGCTGCATTTGACAGCATGAAAATGAGCTGCTTTTAAGCCGCGATGTCTGAATTTGTTATCCCCGCAAAACTAATACGGCTGTGTAAACTGACGCTGAGACCAGCAAAAGCTCCGTCAGGATCGGGAAGAACGTCTCCGAGCCGTTTGATACCAAACGAGTTTTCGGACAAGGCGACTCCCTATCATCCGACTTCTTCAATCAGCTGCTGGAGAAAATAATTCGAGCTACAGAAATTAATTGGGCAGGTACAATCTTTTAAAAGAATGTACAGCTGCTGGTGTACGCCGCTGACAGTGATATCATTATCATTGGSACAATAACCSCACAATTAGTTCTGTTTTCTCCAGACTGGATAAGGAAGCAAAGCAAATGGGTCTGATTGTGAACGAGGGCAGAATGAAATATTTAAAAAAAAAAAACAGTCGTCGCACAACTCGACTTGGCCTCCACGTCACTGTTGACAGTCATAGATATTTTCGTCTATCTTGGAACCAGGGYAAACACCACCAATCAGTTACGCTTTTCGAGAGAAAGATTCTGCGAAAGATTTATGGTCCTTTGCACGTTGGCCACGACGAATATCGCATTCGATAGAATAGCTGGTCATGTCCTACGTATGGACGAAAACCTCCATCTCTGGAGGTATTCGACGCAGAGGAAAAGGAAGACCTCCACTTCGTTGGAAAGACCAGGTTGGAGGGACTTGACTTCGCTTAGAATCTCCAATTGACACTACCTTGCGAAAAGATGAAACGACTAGCGCGCTGCTGTTAACTCGGCTATAATCGCGAAAGCGGTGTCTACACGAGTAAAGAAGAAGAAAGAAGATCCATTAAATTTTGCATACGGAAAAATTTCTGTTGCCGAAATGTTCAGCATGTTGGAAAACACATTCGGTGATAATTATTTTACGCGATCAAGTGTTCTGAAAGAGAAAAAAAGGAACTGTTGCATAAGTTTCGACGMTTCCTAGTCAGATATCTTACTGGTACCGTTGGAATATCTGAAGGATCCCTGAAAACAATTTTGACAGATCRTTTGGGGCTAACAAAAGTAAAAACACGGTTGGTTCCAAAATCATTGAATTTTTTCCATAAACAGCGTCGGAAGYAGACGATCAATCGACTGACAGCTCTCGGCTTTTTCACCACCATGCACCGTCGTATACTTTTCGCCTGATTTAGCTTCGTGTGGTAAGTTTTTCAGAAAACCCAAACGACCGTTCCGGGGATACCGTTTCGAGCCGATTGAAGACGTTAAGTGTGAATCGCCACGCACATTGAAGGCTATTCAGCAAATTGACATAAGAAATTGTTCGGGGATTAGAAAAAACATATTTTTTAATATGAAGATCTGCCAACACTTGAAGGTATTTCTCCGGCTTTTATCCTAGCAAGTTRCAAGTGTCTAAAATTATCGGTTACACCCGAAGTTATACCTACCTTACTTATAAGTCGTTGTTTATTTGCAAACAAAGCTAGCGCAGGGTGCCGCCTGTCTGATCATCTGCATACGTCGCATGACACCTAGATCCAACTTTTTTATACTCATATACCCCATAACATGATAAGACCGCTGTGCCTTCGAAGAGCAAAGAACACCCCACTTCATAGGTTACCCTTTATATTATAATGACACTGTGCGCAAACTGATATTGTGAGATCGTCATTCGACCAATCGTGAGAATAATAATAAAAATAAATAATAGTACTAGCCGATTTTATCGAAATATAAATGGCAACCGACGTATAAAAACAGATCTCCCAACTGCAAAAGGTATTTAGCCAGAACCCCCACAGCAGCTTTACATTGAGCAGAATTCAGCGGAGGATTTTCCCAGCCATTCAGCGTTGAAAACAACTTAGATTTGAACATGAATTTTTGTTAGATATTATTTATTACCAAAATATTCGCAAAAAAACTACGAGATATGATTTATACTTAATTCAAAAATATTGTTTTATATTTTCAGAATTTCGCTACATACAAACTCTAAATAAATAAATCCGTGGTGATGAGCCGCATTTCGAATATTTCTCTACAATTCAAACTAAAACCAAAATGCTGCGTCGAAATATTTCGAATCACATTCGCCCGTTATTGATGCTGTTCGCCGGACTCATAATTGGCTTYTCATTCTCTCAGCAACTTCGCAACAACGATTGCGCCTTTCGACTGAGCTTGCCCAGTGGTGTCTTTTCGGCAAGAGAAGATGAATATGAAGGTCATACAATTCCGCTACTGCCGGCCGGAGCAGATRATCTGCTGACACGTTCTCTCAYTGCTACCACAGACAATAATACGCTGGCAGCGCAGCTGTACAATGAAACGCGTGTGCTTTGTTGGGTACTAACTAGTCCCGCTAATCATGCCAAAAAGGCCATCCATGTCAAAAATACATGGGGCGCGCGCTGCAATCGCATACTGTTCATGAGCTCGSATAGTGACAAGGAACTGGGTAGCGTGAAATTGCCGGTCAAGGAGGGGCGTGGGAATTTGTGGCACAAAACGAGGGAGGCAATGAAATACATCTACGACCATCACTTTGACGAAGCTGATTGGTTCCTGAAGGCTGACGATGACACGTAAGATTTTTTCGATCGCTTCGTTATTCAATTCATACAATAATTTTTTTTACCGTTTGAATATTTAAAATTTTCAGTTATGTCATTGTGGAGAATTTACGCGCCTTCTTATATCCCTTCGACAGCAAAGCTCCTATATATTTCGGTTGCAAGTTCAAAAAATATGTGAGACAAGTGAGTGCATTAAAAATGAAAATATGTGTATTACTTTATTAAATTTCCCTACTTCCTTGCAGGGCTACATGTCTGGTGGGGCCGGCTATGTATTGAGCAAAGAGGCTGTTAAACGCTTCATGGAGGAAGCCTATACAAATGAGAAAATCTGTCGCAAGCGTTCCGGTGGTGCTGAGGATAAAGAAATGGGCAGTTGCTTACAGAATGTTGGCGTGGTGGCTGGTGACTCACGTGATGAGTTCAAACGTGGTCGGTTCTTTCCGTCGGGTCCCCAAGGACACATTATACCAAAAAATAAATCGGCGTGGTACTGGCGTTATATATTTTACAAAACAGAAGATGTGAGTTCTATATACCCAACATATCATATATGTATGTGGAACAGTAACGTAATTGCTGGTTGACAATATTTCTAGGGTCTCAACTGTTGTTCAGATTATGCAATATCTTTTCACTATGTGCAACCATCCTATATGTACGTGTTGGATTACCTTATATATAGCTTGCGTCCTTTCGGGATTTTCAAACAGATCGAAGCACTGCCAGCGAAACGAAATATGACTGATTTGTTGGAAAAGTGGCGGAAGGAAGAGTCTGACAACCCTTTATAAGTATGTCTTCGAAGATATTTAGTATACACGCGCGTGTAAATAATTTTGAAGTTAATCTGAAAACTTAATAAGAAAGAAGTTATTAATATAACAGAAGCGAACTAAATCTTAAAAACAAACTGGCTCTGGCAGTAGAGTGAACAGAACTTACTGAAATTTGGAGCTGGAGTTTGTCCACATACTTAKGTATATAGATCTTTCAATTTTGTCATTATAGTGCCTTAAATCATTATTTATTTATCATCTAGACCGTGGCAAATTTGATTATTGATTTATGTATGTACATATGTCATCAAAATATTTTAAAATAGTTTAGTCTACATATAAGATTAGTTTAATTATTRTTAAAAATCAACTGTGTGTTTTTAAATCATATTGGACATTAAATRGTGCCACTAAACTTGTGCTGTGTCGTAAATTATAACCCATAAATGTATATATCTACATACTTATAAGTGATATAATGTGATAAGTGTAAATGCAAATTAAAAAATATTATTTCATTGAATGTGTCCATATAATTTTGAAGATTTGTAATTTTAGTTTAAAATATTGTTCAAAAGAAATGAGAAGCCACATTAACGAAATACTTTTATACATGAATTTTGTGTATTTTGTACATAGAATGTATGTTCCATAGAAAAGTCGGATGATTATATGAAATAATGCTAGCAGAGAGTTTAATACCTCTATTACGGTCTCCAACTCCACTCGATGGAATTGAAATTAAAGCAATTCAACTTCAGATCAACCAAACTCTTTTTCATAACTAAACAGCACAAAATATTTAAAATAAAAATCAAAACAATTCAATTAAGTTATTGCTCACGGAAAGGTGAATAGTTATTAAAACGGACATAACTTTGGATTTATAATACGGTGACAAAAATATTGGGTCCTAAAATTATCTGCTGTATMTACGAAAAAGCCTTCGTGATCACTCAAATTTATTGAAACTTCCTAACACCAAGTAAGCCGAGGTTTTATTGAAAGTTAAACGGGTTGTTTTTTGGGTTTATTCTTTTCGAGCTCAAAAATTGGTATTCCTTTCTACGTCGTTTTACAAAATAACTGAAAAAAATAGTTTTCTACCCGTTTTCCATTTCAACTGCAACTGCTAGTACTTATTAGTTGAAATTTTTTGATACTCTAGTCAACCACACTAGCTTACAGAAAAAATCATTATTCTTCTTAATTGGCGTAGACACCGCTTACGCGATATTAGCCGAGTTAACAACAGCGCGCCAGTCGTTYCTTCTTTTCGCAACGTGGCGCCAATTGGATATTCCAAGCGTAGCCAGGTCCCTCTCCACCTGGTCTTTCCAGCGGAGTGGAGGTCTTCTTCTTCCTCTAT